TATTATTGCTGTGGAGCTCTGTTATACACTCAGACACATTACTGGGAGTATTATTGCTGGGGAGCTCTGTTATACACTCAGACACATTACTGGGATTATTATTGCTGGGGACCTCTGTTATACACTCAGACACATTACTGGGATTATTATTGCTATGGAGCTCTGTTATACACTCAGACACATTACTGGGAGTATTATTGCTGTGGAGCTCTGTTATACACTCAGACACATTACTGGGAGTATTATTGCTGTGGAGCTCTGTTATACACTCAGACACATTACTGGGAGTATTATTGCTGCGGAGCTCTGTTATACACTCAGACACATTACTATTGGGAGTATTATTGCTGTGGAGCTCTGTTATACACTCAGACACATTACTGGGAGTATTATTGCTGTGGAGCTCTGTTATACACTCAGACACATTACTGGGGTATTATTGCTGTGGAGCTCTGTTATACACTCAGACACATTACTGGGAGTATTATTGCTGGGGAGCTCTGTTATACACTCAGACACATTACTGGGATTATTATTGCTGGGGACCTCTGTTATACACTCAGACACATTACTGGGATTATTATTGCTATGGAGCTCTGTTATACACTCAGACACATTACTGGGAGTATTATTGCTGTGGAGCTCTGTTATACACTCAGACATATTACTGGAAGTATTATTGCTGTGGAGCTCTGTTATACACTCAGACACATTACTGGGAGTATTATTGCTGTGGGCTCTGTTATACACTCAGACACATTACTGGGAGTATTATTACTGTGGAGCTCTGTTATACACTCAGACACATTACTGGGAGTATTATTGCTGTGGAGCTCTGTTATACACTCAGACACATTACTGGGAGTATTATTGCTGTGGAGCTCTGTTATACACTCAGACACATTACTGGGAGTATTATTACTGTGGGGCTCTGTTATACACTCAGACACATTACTGGGAGTATTATTGCTGTGGAGCTCTGTTATACACTCAGACACATTACTGGGAGTATTATTGCTGTGGGGCTCTGTTATACACTCAGACACATTACTGGGAGTATTATTGCTGTGGAGCTCTGTTATACACTCAGACACATTACTGGGAGTATTATTGCTATGGAGCTCTGTTATACACTCAGACACATTACTGGGAGTATTATTGCTGTGGAGCTGTTATACACTCAGACACATTACTGGTAGTATTATTGCTGTGGAGCTCTATTATACACTCAGACACATTACTGGGAGTATGATTGCTGTGGAGCTCTGTTATACAACCAGACTCATTACTGGGAGTATTATTACTGTGGGGCTCTGTTATACACTCAGACACATTACTGGGATTATTATTGCTGTGGAGCTCTGTTATACACTCAGACACATTGCTGGGAGTATTATTGCTGTGGAGCTCTGTTATACAATCAGACACATTACTGCGAGTATTATTACTGTGGGGCTCTGTTATACAATCAGACACATTACTGGGAGTATTATTGCTGTGGAGCTCTGTTATACACTCAGACACATTACAGGGAGTATTATTGCTGTGGGGCTCTGTTATACACTCAGACACATTACTGGGAGTATTATCGCTGTGGAGCTCTGTTATACACTCAGACACATTACTGGGAGTATTATTGCTGTGGAGCTCTGTTATACACTCAGACACATTACTGGGAGTATTATTGCTGTGGAACTTGTTATACACTCAGACACATTACTGGGAGTATTATTGCTGTGGAGCTCTGTTATACACTCAGACACATTACTGGGAGTATTATTGCTGTGGAGCTCTGTTATATACTCAGACACATTACTGGGAGTATTATTGCTGTGGAGCTCTGTTATACACTCAGACACATTACTGGGAGTATTATTGCTGCGTTATACACTCCTAGAAAAGAGACAGAGGAATTTGGTAGGCTAGTGCCATTAGAGATGCTAAACTTGAGTGGCTAATTCAAGACAAAAAAACATTTAAAAAATGAGTGTATTTTAGACAGGCCAGGTCACAAACTGGATACTAGTCCAGGCAGGATACAGATTAAAGCAGGTCAAGAATAAGCCGGATCACCAGAAGCATCGCTCTAAAGAGACCAGGATTACATAATATGCATATTGCAGAACAGGATGGACCAACAGCTGAATCGATCAAAGTAGACTGGGATCATATTTAAGAACTATCCGGATCAGCAGCAGCATCACTCTACACAGACTGGGATCATATAATAAACATAGACTGGAAATGGCTGAATCAGGAGCAGAATCACTCTAAGCAGACTGTTATAATTTCAGATGTATAGTTTAAAACTGGCCGGATCGGCAGTAGAACCGCTCTAAGCAGACTGTGATGATTTTAGATGTATAGTTTAAAACTGTCCGGATCGGCAGTAGAACCGCTCTAAGCAGACTGGGATGATTTTAGATGTATAGTTTAAAACTGGCCGGATCGGCAGTAGAACCGCTCTAAGCAGACTGTGATGATTTTAGATGTATAGTTTAAAACTGGCCGGATCGGCAGCAGAACCGCTCTAAGCAGACTGGGATCATATAATAAGCGTAGTCTGGAAATTGCCTGGATCAGGAGCAGAATCACTAAGCAGACAGGTATAATATCACAAGTATAGTCTAAAACTGGCCGGATCAGCACTTAGCAGACTGGGATCATGTAATAAGCATTGGATTGAATGTGGGATGAGGTGAGGTGGGCAAGGAGAGGACAGGAGAAGGCGGCTCATGACCTCCAAAGAAAATGTGTCTCTCCAGGCAGGACAGCCCTCAAACTCCAAGGCTAACCCATGTAACAAATACGCCACTGGTTTCCACGGTGATTGCTCCACATTTAAAACTCTGCACTGCTTAGCTCTCGACATGCTAATAAGTCTTGCCATACTGTCCGGAAGTGAGTTATTTATGATCCAAAACAAAGAATATGAAAACTCTGATGGACAAAAGCTTAGAGAAATTCAGTAGTTTGCCCTTCTGTAAATCCCCACTCATAGTTTCATAGTTTTTGCTCAATGTACCATTATAAAAAGAACATCTCTGAAGCATATCAGACTGAACCCATCAGTAAGGGCAGTCCAGAACCTAAACGCCAGCAAGTTCTCTCTGCACAAGAGATACAGCAACCCCTGACGATCATTTCGGCTTTCTTATTGATGATCCATCTTACATCACATAGTATCCGTAGCATCAGAAATTCCATTCCTTACTTTGGATTAAAAACTAATTCTTCTAAATATGCAGGGATGCCTGAGCTAATGGCTGGAAGTCCCACAATTTTGGCTCAGCATGTCACCACAATGGATTTAAAATGAAACAAATGAAATGCAATTGAACTGCAGATTTTTAGCTTTAATTCAAGGGGTGGAACAAAAACATTGTATGAAACTTGTAGGAATTGCAACCATTTTTGCACACAGTCCCCATTTTCAGGAGCTCAAATGTAATTGGACAAATTAACACAATCATATGTGAATTTTAAATACTTTGTGGAGAATCCTTTGCAGACAATGACTGCTTGGAGTTTGGAACGCATGGACGTCACCCAACGCTGGGTTACCTCCTTTGTGATGCTTTGCCAGGCATTTACTGCTGCTGTCTTCAGTTGTTTTTTTGGTGTGGGTTTTTCTGCCTTAAGTTTTGTCTGCAGCAAGTGAAATGCATGCTGGATCAGGTGGACATCAGGTGATTGACTCGGCCATTGCAGAATATTCCAATTTCTTTGCTTTAAACTCCTGGGTTGCATTCGCAGCATGTTTTGGGTCAATGTCCATCTGTAAAGTGAAGCTCCATCCAATCAACTTTGCTGAATTTGGCTGAATCTTAGCAGACAATATATCCTTTTACACATCAGAATTCATCCGGCTGCTTCTGTCACCTGTCACATTATCAATAAACCCTAATAGTGTCCATGCCATCACACTGCCTCCACCATGTTTTACAGATGATGCTTCGGTTCATGAGCCATTCCAAGTCTTCTGCATACTTTTTTCTTCTCACCATTCTTGTATAGAGTGATCTCCGTTTCACCTGTCCAAAGAATGCGGTTCCAGAATGGGGCTGGATTTTTAAAGATGTTTTTTTTTTTTTTAAAGCAAAGTCTAATCTGGCCTTTCTAGCTTTGAATGGTTTGGTTGATACTCTGTAATTGCTCATGTGAACTCTTCACTTTATGGAAGGCTTGGATAATGATATGCCTACCTCCTTGAGAGTGTTCTTCGCTTGGCTGTATATTTTGAAAGGGTATTTCTGTATCGTGGAAATGGTCCTATGATCATCCGCCACTGTTTTCGGTGGACGTCCGTGCCTTTTTGTGTTGTAGAGCTCATTAGTGCATTTTTTTTCTCCAGATGTACCGAGCTGTTGATTTGGCCACTCCTAATGTTCCTGCTATCTCATATTTGTAATGTTTTCTTGCAAATGTGATGTCACACCTGGAATCAACGTCAGATCTTTTACTTGCTTAGTTGATGAAGAAATAAAGGAAGAGCCCACACACGTCCATTAAAACAACATATGAGTCAACTGTCCAATTACTTTTGGTCGGTTGAGAAAGAGGGGGTTACATATTAAAAATCTGTAATTCATAACCCTTCCTCCAATTTGGATGTGAATACCCTCAAATTAAAGCTGAGAGACTGCACTTCAAGCCCGCATTCATTATTTAACTGTAACTTGAATATATTTTGGTAAACAGCCAAAATAACAAAACTTGCGTCAGTGTCCAAATATTTCCAGACCTGTGTATTAGTTCCGTATAACCTAACTGTGTATTAGTTCCGTACAGGGCCGTCTTTAATAACGAATGGACCCTGGGCAAGTGTTTGCTTGTGCCCCCTGTGCCCTGCCGCTCTCGCCCCTCACTCCCTGGTATGCAATCACGGCATCCATCCCAACGCAGTGGCGGTACTAAAGTAGAATGAATTTTATTGGGACCCCCAATTGCAAGGTTGGACTAAAGGTAGAACCCCATCTGTCGTGCAACTCCAACAATGCTTTGACAGCTGGGACTCTACCAATTTCCCATGCTTGCAGGGTTGTATTTAGCACTGAGCCATGTTAGTATGTTTGAATGTAAGCATGTGTTTGTATGGAGTATGTTTGTGTGAATGTGTTTGTATGTGGTACTGGAGTTTGAATGCAAGTGTGCATTTATGTGTAGTGTTTGTTTTTGAATGTAGGAGTGTGCTTGTATGTAGTGTTGACGTTTCAATGCAGGAGTGTGTTTTATATGTAGTGTTGAAGTTTGAATGGAGGGGTGTATTTGTATTTAAAGTTGCGGCTCAGATGCACAGGTACACACTCTGACGCACAAGCAGATACACAGATACATACACTGACTACATACAGATAAACAGGCACATACACTGACAGACACACTGACACAGGTACATATATTGACACACACACAGACACATACACTGGTAGACTACTGACAGACATACTGACACAGGCACATATACAGACATACTGACACACAGACACATATACCGACATACTGACACACACACACAGACACATACACTGATCAACATACTGACACACATACACTGACAGAAATACTGACACCCACACACTGACAGATATACTGACACCCACATAGACTGAGAAATACTGACACACACACACAGGCACATACACTGACACACACAGACTGATATACTGACACACACACACACAGACATACTGGCACACAGACAGATATACTGACACATGCACTAACAGACATACTGACGCACTGACAGACATACTGACACACGCAGATATATACTGACACACAGACAGACAGACATACTGACACACACACAGACATGCTGACACACACACACATACACTAACACACACATACACCAACACACAAACACACACACTAACACACATACACTAACACACACATAAACACACACTAACACACACATAAACACACATGCAGCCACTAACACACACATACACTAACACACAAACACATACACTACTTACACATACACTAACACACATACACTAACACACAAACATACACACAAACACACATTTTTTTTTTGTCTCATAATCCCCAACCTCGTTACCTTTTGGGTGCTGGGGGGATTCTAAGTCAGTGGTGGTGCTGCTGGGCTCCTGGTCGGGTGGCCGGTCGGGCAGGAAGGCGGGCGCGCGAGGGAGCA